ATGGGTTCTTCTGAAAAAATCTCAACATCAAGCTTATCTGCACAGATTTTTCCTTCTTTCTAATTTCCATCTCACTCCTTGATCCTAATGAGAAGTGAGTTATTAGGAACATGAGAAGAGTCCTGCTGGCTCAGAGCAAAGGCTCATTCAGTCGAGCTTCCTGGTCTCACACTGGCCAACTGGATGCCTGTGGGAAGCCTGCAAGGTTTTTTTATTCTCACTATTTTACCAAATTCTATACAGGTATACCCTCCATGTTCCCAAAAGTAACTGCACCCACCCAAAAAGATACTACAATACATAGGACTATATAAAAATACTTACCTATTAATACTTTCAAAATTAAGTTGCAGAAATAAAGCCTTTAATATTTATTATACATACTGTAGGAGACTCTTGAGAGTCCCATGGTCTGCAAGAAGATCAAACCTATCCATTCTGAAGGAAATCAGCCCTGAGTGCTCACTGGAAGGACAGATCCTGAAGCTGAGGCTCCAATACTTTGGCCACCTCATGAGAAGAGAAGACTCCCTGGAAAAGACCCTGATGTTGGGAAAGATGGAGGGCACAAGGAGAAGGGGACGACAGAGGACGAGATGGTTGGACAGTGTTCTCGAAGCTACCAGCATGAGTTTGACTAAACTGCGGGAGGCCTGGCGTGCTCTGGTCCATGGGGTCACAAAGAGTCGGACACGACTAAACGACTAAACAACAACATACATACTGTATGTGTTTAGGCTTTTTGCATACAGTTTTATGTATAATGTTGTATATAATTATCGTTCTGGAGGTCTGTTCTTAACCTAAAACTGTTCTTAACCTGAAGCACCACTTTAGCTAATGGGGCCTCCTGCTGCCACTGCACCGCCAGAGCACGATTTCTGCTCTCATCCTGAAGCAAAGTTCTTAACCCGAGGTAATATTTCTGGGTTAGCGGAGTATGTAACCTGAAGGGTATGTAGCCTGAAGCGTATGTAACCCGAGGTACCATTGTAGCCAAGTTTTTTTTTAATGCACAAGTGACTTGGACATAAGAGAGCTCATGTGATTAAAGAGGTGGTTCAATGTGGCTGCTTAATCAGCTTAAAGTGTTCCCAGTATTCAGTGATTAATTGTTTTCACTCTAAATTCATGGAATCATAGAATTGTAGAGTTGGAAGGGACATCTGGTCCAACCCCCTACAATGCAGGAATCTCAACTGAAGCATCCATGACAGATGGCCATCCAACCTCTGCTTAAAAACCTCCAAGGAAGGAGAGTCCACCACCTCTCATGGGAGTCGACACAACTTTAAAAACAGTTCAAAACAATTTAAGGTGACCAAATGATAAGAAGGACGCGGGTGGCGCTGTGGGTTAAACCACAGAGCCTAGGACTTGCCGATCAGAAGGTCGGCGGTTCGAATCCCTGCGACGGGGTAAGCTCCCGTTGCTCGGTCCCTGCTCCTGCCAACCTGGCAGTTCAAAAGCACGTCAAAGTGCAAGTAGATAAATAGGTACCGCTCTGGCGGGAAGGTAAATGGTGTTTCCGTGCGCTGCTCTGGTTCGCCAGAAGCGGCTTAGTCATGCTGGCCACATGACCCGGAAGCTATACGCCGGCTCCCTCGGCCAATAAAGTGAGATGAGCGCCGCAACCCCAGAGTCAGTCACGACTGGACCTAATGGTCAGGGGTCCCTTTACCTTTATATGATAAGAAAGCTCTGTTGATGCTAACTTCTCTTTAATAGCCCATGTCACACAGTCATGCCACCATATGGTACTTGTCATCATCACATGATCCACCGGGCAATTATGATGTCCCTAGACCAGTATTGTAAATAGGAACTATGTATTTTAATTGCATTTATGTTTTTCTTTTTTGTAGTCCAGTAACCCCTGGAGGGCCACAGATTTCTTTTTCTTTTTCTAATTTTTTTATTGAAGTTTTTATCTCTACAAAATAACAGAAAAAAGAAAAGTTTACATATATGTACATGTTAGTAACACAAAGCATCCCACCACCTCACCCCACCACCACCACCATTGGTTCGACATAACTCGAAATGTGAGTTAAAATCTGACTTCCTTAATTCTATAACTTATCTTTACAGTTGTGTTGTTATATTGTATTTGACAAATATTCTGACTTTACTAACCTTTTCCCCTTACAAACTTTGTTCTTTACATATCAATATTTCTGTACTGGAGCAGTGTTTTTTCGTATATTCATTCACGCAACTCCATTCTTTTATTACATTTTGATTTGTTTGACCTCTGACAGCTGCCATCATTTTGGCCAATTCAACAAATTCATTATGTTTTTCGATGCTCACCAGGAGGAAACAAATGTAGTAACACACTTTCATGCCTAGAAATTCATGTGGTTTGTGGTTTCCGTAGTTCTTGTGGTATTATGGTTTCCTTAGAAGCTACCAAATACACCCACTGATTGTTGTGCTGTGTCGCAGGTCCCACCAGCACTGTTATATACACACATATATGCACAGAAAACTCACTCTCTCCGCCCCCCCCCCTTATTAAACTCAGGGACATTATCATGAGCCATGAACTGATATCAGCTAGTCACCTGCATGTGTTTTCTAAAGCCCATTTTTGAATAATATACAGGAAGGGAAGTAGATTATTTCAAGTGACAGTGCTCAGTACAAAAGAGAGGTCAGTTTCTAGGAAATGAGATAGATGCATGGAAATAAATTTTGCAATTTTATTAGCTCCATTCATGCATTTTATATTAGGTTGACATTGGTTGGTGGAACAGATATGTACTGTAGCCTGCTTAAATTAACTGATACGTATAAATATGAATTAGTAGCAAAATTTTGTAGTATACAGTCTCTTTTCTCCAATATCTAAGTAAGTTTCTCCCTTTCAGCAAAAGATGACTGTTATTGCACTTTAAATGCTGTGTTTTTAGTAACTATGTTTTTTATAGATTGTATACCCCAAAAAACACACAAAAAACAAATAAGAGAAAACCTGAATACACATCCTGCTCACATAGACTTGGGTCCAAATAACTAAAGAGAAAATGTATTAGGGTTTCTCTTGGAGCTTTTGCACTCAAGCTAGTGGAAAGTTTTACACAAGTCTGTGCAAATGGAGAAATTCTTCTGGATTTGAGGTCACGTTTAACATGCAATGTACTTTTGCTAAGTCAGAAACAGGTCATCAGGGAAGAGGCTTTACTTTGGAACCTACCCAAAGTTAATATTTATAGAATAGTTTAGATTATAATGTGAAAATTATAGACAGAGGGCACAATTCTTTCCCTCTGACACATATGTCTGTGTGCATGCAGAAGGAATTCCTACAGGCTTTCAACCCTACTGCGATTTTGAGTGCAATGCACCACTCAACAGCAATAATTCAAAGCTCTTTTGTACCCCGCATAGACGTTCTTCAGCAGTCTCTGGCACACAGAAAACACTTGCCCCTGGTGGGAGGCAGGGCTGGGCGAGAGGAGAGATGGGGAACCATTGGTTCTGAAGATGTTGCTGAACCAAAGCTCCCATCTGCTCCAGCAGACATGCCCAATGGTCAGGAACATAGCTGTCAACTGTCCCTTATTTGGCGGGGAACTCCCTTATTCCAGCACCGTGTCCCGCTGCTGTCCCTTACTGATGATGTCCCTTAAATTTCCCGGGTTTCAAAAGAAGCAGCTCCTCTCCCTCCCTCCCTCCCTGCTGCCACACTTCAAAACGACCTTGACAGATTAGAGAACTGGGCCAAAACAAACAAGATGAACTTTAACAGGGAGAAATGTAAAGTATTGCACTTGGGCAAAAAAAATGAGAGGCACAAATACAAGATGGGTGACACCTGGCAGTACATGTGAAAAGGATCTAGGAGTCTTGGTTGACCACAAACTTGACATGAGCCAACAGTGTGACGCGGCAGCTAAAAAAGCCAATGCAATTCTGGGCTGCATCAATAGGAGTATAGCATCTAGATCAAGGGAAGTAATAGTGCCACTGTATTCTGCTCTGGTCAGACCTCACCTGGAGTACTGTGTCCAGTTCTGGGCACCACAGTTCAAGAAGGACACTGACAAACTGGAACGTGTCCAGAGGAGGGCAACCAAAATGGTCAAAGGCCTGGAAACGATGCCTTATGAGGAACGGCTAAGGGAGCTGGGCATGTTTAGCCTGGAGAAGAGGAGGTTAAGGGGTGATATGATAGCCATGTTCCAATATATAAAAGGATGTCACATAGAGGAGGGAGAAAGGTTGTTTTCTGCTGCTCCAGAGAAGCGGACACGGAGCAATGGATCCAAACTACAAGAAAGAAGATTCCACCTAAACATTAGGAGGAACTTCCTGACAGTAAGAGCTGTTCGACAGTGGAATTTGCTGCCAAGGAGTGTGGTGGAGTCTCCTTCTTTGGAGGTCTTGAAGCAGAGGCTTGACAACCATATGTCAGGAGTGCTCTGATGGTGTTTCCTGCTTGGCAGGGGGTTGGACTCGATGGCCCTTGTGGTCTATTCCAACTCTATGATTCTATGAGGCTCCAACTGTGTTGCTTGGCTGCCCGGCCCGCCTCCCTCCGGCCTCCTCTCACCAGCCTCGGCCCCGGGAGCCCCTTCCCGCTGGGACTGGCGGGAGCCTCTGGCCCTTCTGCCGCCATCCTCCTCGCGGCCGCCAAACTGAGCTTCTCTGCCTGGAGCCTCCCCTCTGCCCATCGCCGTCGCGCCTGCTAGGCCGTACTGTGGCTGCACCGTCGAAGGACCCGGATGAGATGGGCAGCCTGGCGTGGCCTATGAATTGCTGAGGAGCCTTGAGAGAAGAGCGAGGGCAACCATAGAGAAAGCAGTTCAGAGACAGGAGGAGGAGGCGGAGGCGCGGGCAGGTGTTCCAAGGGCTAACCATAGAAGGGGAAAGTGGAGGAAGGACCGCAAGCGCTTCTCCCATAGCTTTGTAGTGGTAGACTAGCATAGATGGTCTGATCTGCGGGTTTACCTCGGGCGCTATTTCCCCCCCCCCTTCCTCCCGCCCCACCTAATGGAACTGAGAGCTGCAGATGGAGCACAAGAGAAAAGATACAGAACTGCAGCAGCATCTTCGTAGCTTGGACTTCGTTTTGTGCGAAAAGTGGTTGCTGCTTGTAGTCATTTAATTGCAGTGTTTCATCAGCTGGTGTCTTGAGCAGCAACCTCTGGAAACGAAGGGCTAAAAACCGGCACTGCTCTCCCAAATTATCTGGTCCCTTTTAACTTCATATTTCAGCTGGTTGACTAAAATCCCTTATTTTGGCTGCTGGTCCCTTATTTTCAAATCTGCAAGTTGACAGTTATAGTCAGGAATGATGGGAGTTGTAGTTTGGCAATGTCTAGAGGGCCACAGGTTCCCCACATCTGAGCTAGAGGGGGCGGGGACCAAAACAGGAGAAGGAAGTTCTCGTGCAACATGGGTAGTATTCTATGGCCTCTACATGGGAGCATGGCTTAGTGCACTTGAAGTTCCCTATAGTCTGCTAGGCCAGAAATGGAAAAAGACAAAGTCCCTACCAGAGAGGAAAGGCAAGCTAAGCAGATGGACTATGCTGAAATGGCAACGCTGACTGGAAAACTCAGGAACCAAGAGGACAAAAACTTTTTAAAAGAATGGGGGGAAATTACAACTGATCTAGGAGGCCACTGCAAGCAGATGGAAACATTAGCAGGATTCTGTGGGTAAAACCTCAGCGCCTAGGACTTGCCGATCGTCAGGTCAGCGGTTCGAATCCCCGCGGCGGGGTGCGCTCCCGTCGTTCGGTCCCAGCGCCTGCCAACCTAGCAGTTCGAAAGCACCCCCGGGTGCAAGTAGATAAATAGGGACCGCTTACCAGCGGGAAGGTAAACGGCGTTCCGTGTGCTGCGCTGGCTCGCCAGATGCAGCTTGTCACGCTGGCCTCGTGACCCGGAAGTGTCTGCGGACAGCGCTGGCTCCCGGCCTATAGAGTGAGATGAGCGCACAACCCTAGAGTCTGGCAAGACTGGCCCGTATGGGCAGGGGTACCTTAACCTTTATCTTTAATGTTAAAAATACTATAGTTAATATGGATTGTTATAAAAATTAGAGTATTGAAGAGTATGCAGTTCTAAATGTTGAAAATAGGACCCAATGGAGGGAGTGGGGGGGGGGAATTGTGAGATTCAGAGTGATCTCAATATATGTATAGGTACTTGGACTGTTATAATGTTATATTTGTAAAATCAAATAAAAATGATTAAAAGAAGTTCCCTATAGTCAATCAGGAAGCCAAACAGTTGGAGACAAGGGATTTCCTTGTACAGTTCAGTCTTCCAGTGGACTGGCATATGACCATATTATAACTTAAATAATAATAATAATAATAATAATAATAATTTTTTATTTATACCCCGCCCTTCCTGGTTCAGAAAACCAGGCTCAGGGCGGCTAACAACAAATTCAAAACACTTAATTGTAAAAGCAGCATAAAATACAGTATAAAAACAGGAATAACAATAAAATTCAAAGTTCAGAAATCAATTTGGGGAAAATCCATCTAACAAGCATTAGATAGTCACCAGGGCTAGCTGGTGGAATTAGTCCTACTTGGGCCGCGAGGAGGCCAGGGGAGAATTAGCTGTGGGGTCTCAGAGTGGGTAATCTTCATAAAAGGGGTGGGGGAGGGAAGAGAAGGGAAATAAAAGATCAGGCTGAATTCAAATTAAAGGCCAGGCAGAATAGCTCTGTCTTACAGGCCTGACGGAAGGAGGTTAAATCCTGAAGGGCCCTAGTCTCATGGGACAGAGCATTCCACCAGGTTGGAGCCAACACTGAAAAGGCCCTGGCCTTGGTGGAGGATAGTCTGACTTCCTTAGGGCCCGGGACCACTAAACTATGGTTATTCATGGACCTTAAGGTCCTCTGCGGGGCATACCAGGAGAGGCGGTCCCTTAAATATGAGGGCCCTAAGCCACAAAGGGCTTTAAAGGTCAAAATCAGCACCTTGAACCTGACCCTATACTCAACCGGGAGCCAGTACAACTGGTAAAGCACTGGGTGCATACGCCTCTTTTCTTTTGACTTGAACAGGGGCAAACCATGTTAAGCGCTTTGCCACTTTAAATACTGAGATGTCTGCTTTGAGCTCCCAAATAGTCTCCTTTTCCAGGTTTCTGGTTTAAATCCAACATGTAAATTCCAAAGTTCCAAATTACTTAATTTCTCCCAGTCATGTCATTGTGATCTGGCTATAGCCGGAGCCAATGGCTCTTCGCAAAAAGCTGTGGCTTGTTAATACTTGCCATGGGGTTAACAGTGCCGCCTGGGCTGAGGATCTGCAGAATAATTCACAATATGCCCCCGCTTCATAACTGAAAGCAAACAACAGTGAGGTTGAAACACAGAACCCAAGCCACCTCCCTCTGACTTTGGCCTCCAGCTGTGAGTCAAACTAAGGTGCATGTTTGGAATAACTCAACAGTGTTTATTCTGTTGGGTGGGGAATGTACTCTGGGAAACAGACTTATCTAGATGTGCAGCCCAGACTTATCTATGCATGTTACCTGCTGATTTCAATAGAAAGTTTAGGACTGTAGGATTATGCCCATTTCACAACTGATGCAATTATACGACACACACACATACTTGCAGTAAGCATCGTTGAACATAATGGGTTTTGCTTCTGAGTAAACTTGCTTAGCAAAGGGCAGCAAATCAACATTGCATTTACTGCATGGCACATTAACCATAAAGCAACACGGATTGCAACATAAATCCAATTTTGTGGTGCTTTTTTTCCTGCTGGCTGTACCATATTCACAAGCGACACAATCCAGACTGAGGAGGGTTTCTCTCTTTTCTTTTGGTTTGCTTATTTTTAGCACCGCTCGTGAAAAATGATCTCACTGTTTGGGCTTCAAAGGTTAAAGAGCTTCCAAAACAGCTTCCCTTTGAACGTAAATGCCAGCGACACATCTTATTCTGCATTTAAGTGGCAAGAATTTAGCCGGCGTTTTTTGATAGAAGTCACACTCCTTTAAAAATGTAAACGAATCATTCAATATATTCATACAATATATTATTGCTGTGGCTTGGCATATGTATGTGTGTTAACTGCATTGGCGGCCAAGTTGCAAACAGGCAACTGAGACATGGTTATGCCACGCTTTTATCTTTTATGCCCCAGGAGCGTTTGTGCCAAATCCCCAATGGTGTGAAATCTCTGTTGTTTTCTCAGCCAGCTGCTGCGTTCTTCTTTTCTGTTTTACCAACTGCATCTTTTATTGGGCAAGCTTATGGAAGGGTTGGTAGCTCTGTGTTGCAATGTCTCATGTACATAAATGGCCAAACCTAGCTGGATCTGTGCCAGTTCTATTTTCAAACAGCTTGTGGGCCATCCAAGGTGGGCAGGGGAAATGATCTCATTGTCTTTTTCAGCATGGGGGAAATGGAGGGAAATGATCGCATTGCCTTTTTGGACATTGTTGGTAATAAAAGACGACTGCGATGCAACTGTAAAACATGGTGTTTGACCAAAGGGCCAATAGAACTAATGTCTGCAGACTCAAATAGATAGTGGCTGTTTCTCTGCCTGTGGGTAACTTATTTTTACTTATGGGCACCCTCAACCCACTTCCCAGGATTTTTGGGGGGGAAGCCATGACAGTTAAATTAGTAACAATACCAATAAAAATTTACAATGTACAACTGCCTTCTAATCGGTGTCGGTACCAGGCTACTTTGTGCCCTGGGTTAACTATTTGCACTCCCCCCCCCAAAAAAAAGATCGCTAACTTCAATTTTCAAAAGCAGCTGCCTTGTAGAAAAAATGAAAGGCACAGAATTTGAAACTGCTAAACTTATTTTCCATTGCAAGGATAAGTAATACAACCATACTGTATTTGGTTATCTTTCTCAAATGCAATGTGTGTGTGTGTGTGTGTGTGTGTGTTCTAGCACACAAATCATTTTGTGAATTGTGATGTTAACATTTAAGTCTTGCAATTTCAGGCACATCCAAATCTCACTTTGTGTGGCTTTTCCTTTGCCAATTTTGTCACCTGTTCCTTCAGGTCAAGTGCTGATGCCATTGTCCTCAGAGACACCCCCATCCCTGAGGGGGAAAACTTGTGACAATGTAATCACCATCTAATACAATTTATTTGTATTACTAGGTGCTTTGGCAGAGAGAGGGCGAGGCGAGGCTGCAGCTCTGCATCTTCCATAATATCGAGTTCCGGCTGAAGTTTCAGTTCAAAAATGCAGCAAGATTTCGGGAGGCAGGACAAGCAGTTTGTGCGAACCAAGTCCCTCAGCAGGGCTAGCAATGGATGTCTTGAATGCCTGCAGAATGAAGTGAAGAATGGAAGCAGTCACTGGGCGTATTCTGAAGTTGGAGGGCACAGAACAGCTAAATCACTATTCACTAAGCTGTGGCACTACACTGTCAGATGATAATGCCATTTTGAAGGTAATCGACTGGGATCAGAAATAGGAACAATGAAATGGAATCAGGGACTTTGTGTTTCATTTCCATCCCCTTGGTCCTCTCTGGTGTTAGGTTTAACCAAGACCCCATAGCTGAGAAAACCGCATTCTTTTGGCATGGTGATTAATGCTTCACTTGACAGGAATTCTTGCTGGCTGAAACTCAACTATGCACTCAGGTTTCTATTTGGCTGTTTTCAGCATGGAAACGTCCTACCAAGACCGATTCCAAACTTCGCACAATAACAACATGGCTGGCAATTAAAAATGTACATGCTAATTGCTGGACATAAAATGCCTCATTTACTTATTTGCACACGAAGCAGGGGCAGAAGTAGGGGAGGAATCCAGATTCTTGAAATGTAGAGAGATGTCAGAACTTGGTCCAAAACATCCAAAATTCTGTAGCCACAGATGGTACGCTCATTCTTTGTTTATGCAAATCCGCATAAACTAACGGCATCGTTCATTGACTTGCAACACCTGGACTGTGGCAGAATCTGTAAATTTCTGGGAAGAAAATAGTATGGAAGAATGTGCAGGACAAACTGGCATAGCAATCACACCCAACTCCCCTGGCAGGCTGGAGGTTGGGTTTCCCTTGGTGGTTCCTTGGCTGCTGCCTCCCACCTCTTCGTCCTGCCAGTCCCTGACCCCCCGCCCCCATCCCTGAAGTTGCGTGCTCTCTTCCTTGGCTTATGGGTGCTCATGCTGTGTTGTGTACACACACACACAACATGCACACAATGACATGCAGCCCTTTTAAAAACAACAACAACAAAGTTTTTTGGGTTTTTTCACATTTTAACTTAACCATTTCAAACATTAAAATACAAGGTTCTTTTGAACCTTCGGACCTCCCTCCCTCCTTCCATGGGTTCTATGTTTAAGATTAAATTTGCTGGATCTTTTACCATTATCCATCTGTTAAATATCCATAATTATCATAAATAATTCCACATTACAAGTGTCAATGCCAATGATTTAAACTGTTTGCCTTGGTCTTTTAAATAAATTTTAAATTTACTCCAGTCCTTTGGAAATACTTGATCTTCCTGGTTTCGGATCTTCCCCATCAGTTTCGCCATCTCTGCATACTCCATCAGTTTCGTCTGCCATTCTTCTTTTGTTGGTACGTCTTCCTTCCTTCCATCTCTGGGCTACTAGCATCCCACTGACGTCGTTGCATACATAGAAAGTCTTTTGCCTTCTCTTGGTATCTCTTCACCTATTATACCTAACAAAAAGGCTCCTGGTTTATTAACAAATGTGTTTTTAAACTTTTTCTTTGATGCATTATATATCATCTCCCAGAAAGCCTTTACCAGTGTACATGTCCACCACATGTGGTAAAAAGTACCTTCCTTCCCTTTACATTTCCAACATCAATTTGAATTCGTTTTGTACATTTTTGCAATTTTAGTCGGTGTTAAATACCAATGATACGACGTACGGCCCTTGAAGACAATGCCAATCCTCAATGTGGCCCTTGGGCTGGGGGAAAAATAGCTACTTCCTGCATTATTGCCTCCAAGCTGGAGTCCTGAGAGTCTGAAGATGGTAATACTGGCAAAATAGACGCCTCTTGGGTGGAACTACTGAGGAGACCGGGTCTCAAAGGCCGCCTCAAAGGGCACATTCTCTATCCAGTCCATGGTGTCCTCTGAATTAAAAGTGTCTTCCCCTGAGGATGGGGATTCAGATCTCTGGGTCATGCCAGCATCTCTTCTCAAGTGACATATAAATAAAATTGTAGTTTGCAGCATTTTATGACCCTCTAAATAGGCCTGAGCTATTTGTAGTGTTATAAACACCCCACCCTCAACATCCATCTCCCATATATCAGGTGTTTCCTAACACAGTTGCTACTGGAAAAAAATAATATTTCTTTGGTTAGGGCTGTTTTATTTCTCTCCGTACCACCCAAATAGAAGCTGGGCATTCTGAGGCATAGTCTAGCCCATAGAATATATTTTTAAAAAAATACTAATACTTGCAAACGTATTTATAGTCTCCTCTATTAGGCTATCTGACATTTTATATAAGCAGCACCAGCTGCTCTTGCAGAGATGATTACTTTATGCTACTGTTTATTTTTTCCCTCTGTAAAGGATATAGCACTTTGCAAAAATCTGGATTACAGTGTCACTAGGAAATGATAGTTAAGTTATACCAGAATGGTGACATTTGACAATAGAAAAATTACAGAACAGTCCCCGAGCTCCAAACAGAAGGTGGAGGATTTTAAAAATGTGTTCCTGTTAAACTAGTCTCAATAATAACACTCACTATTTTAAGTTTTCTTTTTTCCGTGTTTTTTCCCCCTTTGCAACTCCTGCACAAAATTTACAGCATGGAGTGGAAAGTACTGATAAATATGAGTCATGTTGCGTTTAGACTGTACAAACTACAAGACTTCAAATAAACGGGGAGCTATAAAACAATGAAATCAAAATCAATGACCGCGGGATGAATAACAGACATTTGGGCAATATTGGGCAACTCATATATTACTCCTCATAAGCTCATTAGGAAGAATTGAAATGGGCTGAATTTACAAGGAGAAAACTTTTAATTAATGTTTCAGGGAATCTTTGCTGAATGAGACTAATGTGTGCAGAAGGCTCATGGCCGCAAGGAACAGCGCTGCCAAATACAGTACCACAGGGAGCGCTTCTGTGCAAACTTCATTTAAAATCTGAGTCTAGCTAATTGTGGAAAACCGATACCTCAGCAGTGCTAAAGGGCTCGAATGTAGACGCAACCTTCCCGCTGCTACAATTTACACTTGGCCATCTATTGATTTTGCCACGACTAAAGATGAAGGGAAGCACAGTATGGTTGTCTAAGAAGTGGTCCTCCTCATGAGGTACTCTCAAAGAGAATCCAGAATTGTTCTCAAGAAGTTCATGGAGGATGGTTTGCAATTAAGTCCCAGGTTGAAGAGAAAACCTGCTTTGAATGTACATAAACATTCCAGTGATAGATATCCTAACCAGGGCTTTTGAAATATACTCGGAGTCCTGTAGTGATTTCATGCTCTTTATTGCAGCTTATAAAACAGTGATTGAATTGCCCCCCAAACCTCAGGCTTTTATATACATTATATACACAATGAGTCCCATCTGATTGGCTGATTCTGCTTCCCTCCTGGAGCCTGATTTGTCTTTTCCTGCAGGCCAATCAGTTGTTGCATTCTATGATGCTACCAGCCTAATAGGCTGATTAACTTCCTCCTGGAGCCTGATTGGTCTTTTCCTGCAAGCCAATCAGTTGTTGCATTCTAGGATCCTACTTGCCTATTGTTCTCGGAGCCATAACAGCTTTCTTTCAGCCGGAACTTGCCGGAACTCAGTTCTGACACCCCTTAGGTGGGCGCCATTGCCATTATAAGAGAACAAGGGAGGTGTTCACGGTGAGTTCTGACACCTCTTCTTCTAGAAAATAGCACTCCTAACTATATCAGTGCAGTCCTATGCCTGAGACTAGTAATGTTTAATGCCTGAGACTAGTTTTTAATGTTGCATTTTAACTTGTAACCTGTCCTGGAACCTAAGGATGAAGTAAAATAAAATAATATTTATTAATAATAATTAATAAATAATATAATTGGTAAGTACATCATGGTTTGGAGCTGCAGCTGAACTGCATATATTTCAGAAGCAGACATGCACTCTTTATTCATACTACTTAACTTTTATCACAGACAACAGAGTCTAATGTCATCTTGGATTCTGGTTTATGAGCCCCTTGTGGAAAAGCTAAATTTAGCAAAAAAATATCTACAGTGCAATAAATCACTAGAATGGAACATTGCATTAACAAATCCTGTTCAAAGAGGATTTATGAGTCAATGCTTAGATATTTTACTACTTCACTTCTTGATTTTTTATTAACACTGTAGAGTCATAAGCCATTAGACTATCTCTAAATATACATATGGCAATATGGATCTAGTTGAAATTATTCTGTATAGTACAGATAATGTCTGTAAAAAGCTTTTTGTTTGATATAACTTTTTGTTGTTGTTTTGCGGGAAGAATAGAATTACCGTGGCTAATGGAAAAGAAGGAACCTTAAATCCTCAAAAGCTGTGAAATCTCTTTTTTACATATGGTTAAAACCCACTGACTGCATTAAATTAACTGTACTAACAAGAATAAAGTATTTTAAGTTGTTGGTTCATTGGGACATTATGATGTAAACATCAAATAATTTTTTAACCAAAGAAAAACGTCAGCATGGCTGTTGATTTGCCAAACGGAAGCGGATGGAGTCGTTCAGCAAAAGCTCTACTCAAGGACTTCCACTTCTGCAATGGGGCTTTCATTCCTCTTGTGCCCCACACGCCCCAAATAGGATTGTGGGGGCGTCGGAGAACCCCAGAACAGTACACAGGGTGCGGCAGTGGGGATTGCTCTATCTGAAATGTGCCAGTGTTGATGGAACTTTGACCCTAGCGCCAGGGGCGGAGGAAGGGGGACGGTGGGCGCAGTCCACCTTGGGTGTCATCGCTGAGGGTGGTGACATTTGGGACTGTGCTGGCCCTGGGGGTTACCTGAGAGGCGAGGTCCAAGTCCAGTCCATGGTCAAAGGTGCAACGTGGAGGCAGTCCATAGTAGATGAAGCCGGGTAAAGGGCAGGGAGTCGGGTGAAATTAGGAACAGGCATGCAAGCAGGGAGTCAGGGCTGGTCAGGAGTTCAGGCAGGAAAGCAGGACAGGGTTCAGGCAGGAACTAGCAACCAACAATGTTGCTCCCACAACTTGGGACTGGGGCTGGCCGGCTTTTATCTGCCCTGAGGCATAGGGCGGCCCCGGTCCATAGGTGACTCGCCTCTCCTGGCCTGGAGGTGAGAACTCCTCCTGCAGGAACTCAGTTCCCTCCGCCTCTCTGCCCTGAGCCTCTGCAGCTCAGGAGAGGCTGGAGGGTTACCGGACCCAGAGGCAACCTCAGCTTCCTCTGATGGGGCTGAGAGTGGAGCACCTGCAGGCATCCGGAGCCAGAGCAGACTCAGCTGGTGCCTGCACCTGAGGATCCAGCACAGGTGAGGACCCTTCAGGCTCAAGCCCCAGCCCTGGCTCAGCTGGTTCTGGAGGCGGGGAATCCTGTGCAGGCTGGGATCGCTCAGGTTCAGCGTCTAAGTTCGAATCCCAGGCCATCACAGGCACACTGCCCGCCCACAACCTCCAAGCCATTGGGGGGAAGGGGCGGAGCTGCGCCACCTCGCAGCTGGCCCTTACCCGTTTGTTTTGACAGCTCAGTGGAGGCTTGGAAGTTGCAGGCGGGCGGCACGCCATTGCCCCCCACTCCCGGGCTTCTTCCATGGGGGAAGTCTCCCCCAAGCTGTGAAAAGGAAGATGGAAGGGAGGAAGACTGCTGGCAAAGCGGCGCAGCTCCCTCCTTCCCACCCAGGAAGCAGCCCACCACGGGCAGCTCGCTCTGCCCCCATGGGCACCTCACCCCTGGGACGCTCGCCTCGCCCCCGGGTGCACAGCATGCTAGCTCCGCCTCTGCATAGCGCAACAGTGAATTCAACTGATTATTGTTGCATCAAGGAAAGCTGATTTCTCCATGTGAGTGTCAAAGCTGAAACGTCAGTTCCTCCCAACACTACCCCGTCTCTGCAAGTAACTAACATAGGGAGACGTTGATACTACAGTCAAACCTCTGTTCCCAAACACCTCCGTTTTGGAACGTTGCAGCTCTCGAATGCCAAAAACCCAGAAGTAAGTGTTCTGATTTTCGAACGTTTTTCGGAAGCCGAACGTCCGACGTGGCTTCTGCTTGAGTGCAGGAAGCTCCTGCAGCCTTGGTTGTCGAACATTTCGGAAACCGAATGGGCTTCCCGAATGGATTACATTCGACAACCGAGGTTTGACTGTATGTAGGATGAACACCACACAGCCAGATTCACAGGCATGGGTAGTAGGTTAAATCAATATTCTCCAGCTATCTTCCTAATTCCAACAGAAGGACA